AATTTCTGTATAATAAAATAATACTACAAAAACAAGAAAATATAACAAAATAACAATATTAGAAATAATAAAATAATAATAATATTAATGTTAGCGTTTGCAAATGGCTATTTATGAGATCATTGGGAATTTTTCGATTTAGCCTGGTTGGGCGCGCTTCTGGGAATACGTTTTGTGCCAAGTAATTTGGGTGTTCGTCAATTCCTCTTTTATAGTTGTCTGTTTTTTGTTGAATTATTTTATTTACTGTCATCATGTGGCCTGGTGAATCAACCAGTTGGAAACGTACCTGGGTGCGTTCAGTGCCTGTCGTATGATCTTATTTTGCACTTGCTGAATTATCTGTATATTGTTTTTTTTTTGGCGGTGCCCCATAGTAGAAATCCATAAGACCACACTGGTTTGAATATATATCTGTAAATAACTAGTTTGTTGTTTGTCGATAGTTCGAATCGTTTATTCAGCAACCAGTAATGTTTTTTAAATAGTTCATAAATCTGCTGTTTTTTCTTGTTGATGTGAACTCTCCAGTTCAATTTTGAGTCTAGTTGTATTCCGATATATTTTACGCTTTTTTACTGGGATTTCCTGTCTATTCAACTTAATTGTAGGGAATATACCAGTACGCAGCGTGAAAGTGATATGCGTAGATTTTGCGCCGTTTGTCATAATTCTGCATAAAGAAAGCCATTTTGTAGCAATATCTAGATGTTCTTGTAATAGCTGCGAAGCTATTGCGGGATCTACATTGGAGACAATGATACATGTATCGTCAGCAAATGTCGACACGCTTGTTCCGGAGTATAAATGAAAATCCGCTGTGAATATAAGAAATAGAGTTGGAGAAAGGACGCTTCCCTGGGGCACCCCAAAGAGGATCTTCCTTTTGGTCGACTCCTTGTTGTTTATACTGACAAAAAATTCCCTATTTTCATGGTACGATTTTATTATTGAAAATATCGGTTCTGATGAACAAAGTTTTAGTTTGTTCAACAAACCAGTGTGTCATACCTTGTCAAATGCTTGCGCAACGTCTAAAAATACAGCCGAACAATAGTTTTTTGCATGGAACGATTCGTTTATTATATTTACTAGGCGATGAACCTGTTCTATGGTTGAGTGTTGTTCTCTAAAGCCGAATAGGTGATTTGGAATTAGGTTTTAATTCAACAATTTTTACTTATGCTTTTTCAAATATTTTCGAAATACAAGGAAGAAGGCTTATTGCCCTATAGGAAGACAATAAATGAGAGTCTTTCCCAGGTTTAGGTATAAGAATTATTTTAGCTATTTTCCAAGCTTAAGGGAACACTTTTAATCTTAAAATGTAATTGAATATTATTGTTAATAATCTAAATCCCTTTTCTAACAGTTTTTTTATCATTTTTATCGAAATTTTATCTGGTCCAGGAGATTTATTAGAATTTGCATTCTTAACATAAATTTTACTTCGGTCACCCTTATGCGTTTTACAATTTGGCCTGGTATAGATTCATTTTGTAAACAATTGTGGATAACATCTTCATCGTTCACGTTGCAACTGCGGGGATGAGGTTGGAATGTATTTTTCAAGTGTTCTGAAAATTCTTCCGATTTTTCTTCTGAACTTCTCGCCCAAGAACCATCAAGTTTACGCACTGGAGGTATATGTACTATCGGTCTTTTTAATTTCTTCGTTGCCTTCCAAAGAGAATAATTTGTGTCTTTATTACATGAAATATTAGTTAAATAATTTTTAAGACATTCGTTCTTATATTCACATAATGGTGTCTTAAGCTTACTACAGGCACAGTTAAATTTGTTTTTATCGGTCGGTTTGCAAGATGCTTGCAATTATGTTTGGTAGTATCTCCTTTTTTGAATGGCAAAAAAGTGTATTTAACGTGTTTTTCGAAAATGTAGGGATAAGTGGGCCACCCAAACTTTTATCTGAAAAAATGCTGCTATATGCTCAAATTCTTACTCTGACAGTTTTCAAATATGCTGATTACAAGTCTGTTGGCAAATTGACAAAATTCGAAATCGTTGACTCGAAATGAAGGGTAGAAATTGAAAAAACAGTGACTTCAGTAAAAATGTTTATTTAAGTCTGAAAAGGAGTAATAAAGTTGGAATGATAAAATTGTTGAAAAAAAAAAAACATTTTGCATCAAGCACAGATTCTATAATTGTAAATAATAGCTCGCATCGATTTGTACTGCCAAACATAGAAATAATATCATAAGCATATTTCTTAGTATTTTCAAATCTGACTGGTAAATATTTATAAAATTCAGGTACCCCCACTTCAATAAATTTGGCTTTCAAATTTGAGTTACACTGAATTTCGATTACCTCCATTTGCATGTTGCTGGATACTGAAAATATATCTACAGAAAAGATCGAAAAGAACAAAAAAAAAAAAATACCTTTGAGTGAACTAAAATCTTGAAACCGCATTTCAAATTCCGTTTTTAAATTAGCAATGTTTTCTACATATTTTTTATATGAAGAAGTAACATCCAAGCTTGATTTATTTATGCTGCACGTCGGAAAGTGTGTCTAATTTTCACTTTTGAGCTGTTTTTCCCAAAGGGCAAGTTTGCATTTAAAAGCTTGAATTATGTCGAACATGTTTGTTATAAGGTTGTCTTTTTCCTGCAATGACAAATTTAGGTCAGATAGGTGTTTGGTTATATCAACCAAGATCCTGTTGATTATTTTCGGGTACAGCACTTCTTGATGTGAAATGCAATGGGTATGATAAAGATTTTCAAATGCACGAAGAAACACTGCTAGCTGAGCCGTGCCACTGATATCCGTGGTCTTGTCACAGGCAATAGAAAAGCTATCGAAAGAAAATGATCTATTTTTGATTTGATCACTCAAATTGGCGGCTAAGTCAGTAAATCGTTCTGCAACTGTATTGCAAGACAATGTGTTCTGAACGGATAAGTCCAAAGAGATCCGGATCAAGTGTTGCCAACTCCATCATAGAACAAAGATTTACTATATGTTAGAAACCGCTAGTTACGCCGTTCACAGTTGCGTTGGCGCATATTTGAAACGCATCATTACGGAATATTCAGTAACCACTGACCATAGATAAATACGCATCTGATGAAGAAGCTACTGACAATAAGATCCAACACTACGAAATATTAAGTAACTTTACGCGGTATAAACTTTTGGTAAACAATAAATTATTGTTGATTTTATTAATCGTAATTATTGTTAATTTATTTAAAGTAATCGTTAATTACTTAGCAGTTGAATATTTCATTTTTTTCCTCATCGAATTGTTATTTATTGCATATTATCATTTGTCAACATACTTTGTTTGTTTTGCGGGCAGCCGGGCCGCAAAAATATTTGCTATGGGCCGTCATCTGAATAATTGTAGTAACTTTTATGGCTTTGCTTGTCAAATATTCAAATATATCTTGCGTATTAATATATTGTGGAATACCTTTAGCAACTATCTTCTTCTTGGTATTATTGATTTTTGGATATGTAAAATATTGTAGCTCATCAGCATTTTTTCAAGACCGCATTGTAATCCCTGCTAGTTGTTGTTATTAGGTAGTTATCGATGCCTCGATATTGTGATAGCATTTGAGTCTTGCATAACTTTTGTAGTTTCCATATATAGTGACGGTTAGGTGGAATACTTTTAATTTTAATTGGTGGCATTTGGATTGATGATTTTTAATGACTATCTGATACATTATGATTTGTATTATTCGTGCCATTATTTCTTGACTTTCGTTTTTGAATTAAATTGAAATCATTTTCTGATCCTGTAGTATTATGTAGTAATTGATTGAATATGTTGTGGTCTGCAAAAACCATATTATTGCCATTGATATTGTGTACAATACTGTACATTTGATTTGCTGAAGTTGTTGATGGTTTACTTATATCCATGTCATACAATGTTTTTGTAGATGAATTATTATTATATTATATTTAAAAAATCATTAATTATTGCATCAGATATATCTGTTTAATTTTACATAATTCTATTCCAGCTTTCACATGTGTTATCACTCTTAATCACTTTGCTTTTACTGCCAATACCTTTTTTCATTAATTGTTTTGCTCACTAAATTACTGTTTTTATTGCTAATAATTTTATTAGTATCACTATTAACTGTATTTATATGTGTATATTGTGAAATTACATTTTGTTGAACATTATAAATTGTGTTTATAGCATTTGCGATGCTTGAACCTAAATTGTATAATGTTTTATAACTACACGTCATCATCGTCAGACGGACCTTCGTCCATGTTATGAAAATATTAATTGTTTTCAGAATCGATGTTAACTCTTTGAACGATCGAATAGGAATGATCAGAGTATACACACGTTGTTCAATGTCCCATTTCAGCAGATATATAAAGTACCGAAATTAGTTAGTCAGACAAAGTTGCTTACAACAGAGTTGGTGTAAGTAATTACAGAGTTGCTGTAGGCTACAGCAGAGTTGCTGTTACACAATAAAGTACACAATAAGTACAGTATAAAATATTCGAATAAGTGTTGTTCTTATAAAGTGCAAAGACATTTCAGCCTTTACTTTTTACTAAGAGCTCAAGGCGTCCGAAGTACTACTTCCAGTTAGTAAATCTATATCACCGCTTGGCAAGGCATTATTGACTAGAAGATACGCCAGGAGGACAAGTACCAACCCTCTGTAGTCCATCAATACCAACCACGCTAACCAACCGAAAAACATTTCATGGAATATTAATTGAATATAAAATTGATTAGCTTTTAGTAAAAGCGCAAACCTTGTTCTCAAAACAACCAGTTGAACACTTTATCTAAATAGCTCATTCTCAGTTCTTATTAATTAAGTCATTCATCTCATAGATAAATAAGTATAAATAGATTTATCATAGATATTTATCTACAGGTATGGAAAAGTTAACTCTTACAATTACTTTAATGTTTCGATCCTTTTTTAAGTTAAAACACTATACACATAGGATTATTATTGCATCTAAAATTCTAGGTTTAAATGTTACCGAATCTTCTATGAATTCATATAATGCCAGTGTGTCTCCATATAAGATGACTGTCTATAAAATGTCCAGAAACTTAACCGAAAGCGTTCCGGGAATTTTCTCTTCCCAAAATCTTACAGATAATTTAACAGGTCAGAGTTATTATTTTACACCAGAAAGTTATAAGGTTTTTATATCATAACATATATAGAAACAAAAAATATTAATTCATTAAGTATATTTATATTTAACACCCTTTTTAGGACTCCTGATGTGGAATGAAGCAGATTTTTTTTGGGACGATTCTTGGTTAACCGATGCGAATAATGCAAGCAACTTAACCGATAGTGGGATTCTTTACAATTTCAGCGATTTTGACAAAGTGAACATGACCATGCCTGGTTATTGGTTTTGCGCTCAATGGACTGCGGCACAACAAGACTTATTTCAAACAGCGCACATTTTTGTTGCTATGGCTTTCTTGGTACCACATAGTTTCAAAAGTAGTATTATTATTGTCAGGTAATAAAAATGTTGATCAATTTAAAGCAACGGATTAATTTGAAACATTTTTAATTTATTATTTTAGAGCACTGTTAGCGCTAGGATTTCTCATTTCGGCTCTATGGGCTGGGAGCGATATTTGTGCTCCTGATGTGATGATTTGGAATTTTACTTTGATGCTTGTGAACGTTGTCCATGGAGTATTACTAATTATACGGTATATTAGTACTTTATCCAATAACTAACCAGCGCATCAGTTTGTCGTGCTGTTTAACTAAACCAAATTAATAAAAATTGAAACATTGAAACCAGGATAATACCGCCAACAATGTCAGTAGAGTTAGCTGATTTGTATCTACGCCTCTTTAAGCCATTGAGAGTGTCCAAGAAACATTTCTCTGAGTTAACACGCGATGCCCGTATTTTGCTTCTAGAAGCGGGCGAACCTTATGCTTTAGAAGAAGTTAGTCCTGCGGATGAGCGTCTGTCAATACTACTACGTGGGAAGTAAGATAAAAAATGTTGCTTCTCGAAACTGTTATAATGAATAAAGCATTGTTTTGATATAAAGTGTAAGTCATTTATATATCTTTATTTTTCAGATTAAAAGTTTCATGTGATGGAACGCATTTGCATTATATTAATCCTCATCAGTTTATAGATTCTCCAGAATGGGAAGCCAATCATGAACATAGTGATGATGTATTTCAAGTATATAAAAATATTATAAATTATACAATTCTTTTTACCATAAACCTAATTAGAATTAAAACAAAAAATAGGTATCAATAATGGCAGAAGAAGACTGCTATTATTTATGCTGGCCAAGAATGAAATTAGAAAGGGTTCTTCGCCACAGACCATCTTTGAAAGTTGTCTTGGATAGCATCATAGGTATATATTTTGGATATAATGTTGATTTTATAAAAATATTCAAAAAAATAATATATATACAGGTAAAGATATTACAGGAAAGTTGTATTCGCTAAATGAGCATCTTTGTTTACGCAATTCCAAAGGATTAACAGCCACAAAAAATGGTGACCCTTTTCCAAATGCTACTTTGTTTCGTAGTATATCTGTAGACGCTGTCTATACAGGAACACGCGGCAGAGTACGTTCTGATGATTGGAAAGCTCAAGAACGTAGAGACTCTTTTCCTACATCACACAGTAAGTTTTTATTTACCATGAAATTATAATTTTTATAAAAAAAACAACTATTTTATATAACTTATATTACAAAAATTACAAACAGTTTAATTGAAATTTAATTGTTTTACTAAATAAGAGTGTAAAAAGAGTAAGGTATAGGTTTTTCAAACGGGTTGAATCAAACTTTAAATCTTGAGAGCCAATTTAAACAGGCATTTTGTGTTATCTAATTAAGTTTTCTACTAAATATCATTCCTGGTAATATCTAAAATAGGTACTGGTATAAATGTTATGTATTGACTTAAAATGTATTTATTCAGAATCTTCCTCCGAAAGACATTGGTTTCCATATGTTGCACGTCATTTTCCTGAACATTTTCCATTTCCGCAATCGCGACCTCCAACCGCATTGCCGCCTTATCCTGCTGCTACACCGCCTCCATATGTTACTACTTCGCCGCCAGTGATACATCAAAGCTCGGATAAAATGTTGGTGCCAATTCTTTCGCCGCCACCTCCAGCAGCTCCACGGCCCATGCGTAGAGTGCGAGAAGTTAAATTTGCCGAACCAAAGGATGTAAAAGCTCTCCGAAGATCTGAGCAGCCTGTATGACCTGGGGCAAGCTGGCGCATTCGCGAGGAATCGGAGAGCTCCGAAGAAGACTCGATGTAGACATCGCGCGTCAGCTTCAAACCGGATTAGCCGGATAATATAACTATTAAATGTAATAAATAATTTTAACCCTTGTGGACTCAAACGCATGACTGTGATAAACATCATATATAACTCGGGTTTTGTTTTATGTATGATTTTTTCGTAAATGATATATATATATATATATATATATATTTATATATATATATATATATATATATTATATATATATATATATATGTATATATGTATATATATTTATAAATTAATTGAATAATTAATTGATAAACTTAATAGTACAGTAAATTCGAAAGATTCAAAGAATAATAATTATATGTTGTAAATTTTGTTTGCAGTAAAATGCTCATGCCGCCGCTACGGCGGCATCCGAGTCCAAGAGGTTAAGTTTGCACAGATTTAAACAGTTTGCACTTTAAACTGTAGACTTAAACAATCTGGATTAGGTTATAGCACTAAAAATATACTTAAAGTTAAATCCAGATACATTTACTATATACTATAGACATATTAGTTTAAATTAATGTGTCAAACATATAAAGCATTACTGTAATAATTAGTTTAGCAAGTATTTATAAGTAACGACTTAACGTTAAATATGCTATGTTTTCTTGAAATATATATTTTCTCAAAAAGTCAAAGTCTCTGTGTATAATTCTACATATTTAAATCCTACAATTGCTAAATCACATAAGGTAGTATAGGTCTAAAATTTGTTAGAAGTCAGACTTGCATTATGATACTGAAAACTGTGCAAGCAAAACTAAAAATTTGATGAAAAACTAAATAATCATTTTTTATTATTTTTTGTGGTAAATTTATAGTCATTAATATAACCATTGTAATATGTGAGATGATGAAACAACTCAAGTGATTCTAAATTTTAATTTTAATTTGTTAATTAGTTAAAAAAAATTTCAGTTAAATAAAAATTAAATGTTTTCAAAGTCTGCAGTAAACTAATTAAAAATATATTTTTATATTTTCACATTTTGTAAATTACAATGCATCTTTAAACTTCATACTTATACACATACGTGTACAATCTCGATTTTACTAGTATAATTGTACTTATGTTTGCTTATGCAGTTTGAATAGTTCAGTTGTACTAGACGGGCTGTAGATACTGCTACTACAAGAGTGCGAATTTTTTTTATTATAGTATATGTTCTTTTAAAGAGTTATTTTATATGTTTCTAAGATACTTAAGAACAAAAACATTTTAATATTGGATTCACTCTTATTTTCTTTCAATAAAACGTTTATTAACATAAAATCTTTTACCCCATATAATCTACCCCTTTTATGATTATTCCTTCTAAGTTAATTAACCTTGTGTTTAATATCAGAAGTTAGTTTGTCCTACAACCTACAATTCAACATCACATATCAGTTTGTCCTACACTAAGAAGAAAGTATGTAAATACGTATAATATGTGTACTTTTATAGATTTGTTCCAAACATACCAATATTTGTTTGCTAAATATATGCCATCCAAAAATTTTATATTTGGAAATCCACCGAACCAGACTTTCACAAAAACTAGTTATATCTTCACACCGTCAACACAAGCGATATGATTTTTAAATAATTTTAATCGGTCCTTCGCTTTCTTAAAAAATAACATTTTTTAATTCTTTTGCCCCGTATTTCTAGTAATATTCAGTAACTACTGACCATTGATAAATACGCATCTGATGAAGAAGCTACTGACAATAAGATCCAACACTACGAAATATTAAGTAACTTTACGCGGTATAAACTTTTGGTAAACAATAAATTATTGTTAATTTTATTAATTGTAATTATTGTTAATTTATTTAAAGTAATTGTTAATTACTTAGCAGTTGAATATTTCATTTTTTTCCTCATCGAATTGTTATTTATTGCATATTATCATTTGTCAACATATGCGGGCAGCCGGGCCGCGAAAATATCTGCTGTGGGCCGTCATCTGAATAATTGTGGTAACTTTTATGGCTTTGCTTGTCAAATATTCAAATATATCTTGCGTATTATTATATTGTGGAATACCTTTAGCAACTATCTTCTTTTTGGTATTATTGGTTTTTGGATATGTAAAATATTGTAGCTCATCAGCATTTTTTCAAGACCGCATTGTAATCCCTGCTAGTTGTTGTTATTAGGTAGTTATCGATGCCTCGATATTGAGATAGCATTTGAGTCTTGCATAACTTTTGTAGTTTCCATATATATATATATATATATATATATATATATATATATATATATATATATTTATCAAATTTATATGTAATAATCAGAACAAACCAAGTAATTCTATGAGCTACAGTGAGAACATAATCTAAACAAATCAATAATGTAAAGTAAAGGAAAAAAATAATAATAATAATAATAATATATAACTAAAAATAAATAACTAACTATAATAATAATAATGATAAATATAATAATAGAATAGAAAACTGTTCCATTGATCAGTTAACTAATTATTTAATTAAATAAATTAATATAAATCATATGGAAATTTCCTCTTCAGTCTTCTAGAATTAGGGATCTCAAGTAGTGCTGAAACTATGTGGTTTGGGTGTGATTCCAGTTTTAAGTGATGGTGAAGGCTATTGCTGCTAATTACATCCACAATATATGGAATGTTAAGATCATTGTGGATAGTTTGATTGCTGATGAACCAGGGGGCATCAGCGATTTGTCTCAAAATCATTGATTGGGCACGTTGCATGAGAACTATATTGGACTTACTAGCACAACCCCAAAGTTTAATGCCATAAGTCCAAATAGGCTTAATTATAGTTTTGTAGACTAAGTTTTGTTTACAAGTGGTAGTTTTGATTTGCGCCCTAAGAGCCAGTACAGGTCTTTAGTTGTTTGCTTCATATGTTTATTTTGGCTAAAATGTGAGATTTCCAAGTTAATTTTTGGTCCAAATGAATTACCAAATACTTAACACTAGTTTTCGTGGTAATTATACGTCCGTTGAAATTGACTTCAGTGCATGTGAGTTTGTTGAGTGAAAATGAAATATGGTAAGATTTGGTCTCATTTATCTTGATGCGCCATCTTTTGGTCCATTTTTCGATATTATTCAGATGTAATTGCAATTTGGTTGAAGCAGATGTGGGGCAGATATCTGTAGATAGAACCGCAATGTCGTCAGCAAACATGGCAGTAGTGGTATCTGTAAATGTAGGAAAATCGCTGGTATATATCAAATACAAGAAAGGACCCTGTACACTTCCTTGCGGAACACCCGCTTCAATTGGAAATAATGCAGACATTTCAGCATTGACACGAACTTTAAACATTCTAGAGTCAAGGTATGATTTCAGGATTGCGTAGTAGCCAGACGGGGGAAAAGATCTAATTTTAGATAAAAGACCCTTATGCCAAACTTCATCAAACGCCTGACTTACATCAAGAAAGACAGCAGAACAATACTGTTTCGATTCGAATGTGTTGTTAATTACATTTACAATCCTATGACACTGCTGTACCGTAGAGTGATGTTTTCGGAAAACAAATTGATGGTCAGGGATGATATTTGATTCCGATAACATATCTTGCAACAGTATAATCTTTCAAAAATCTTGGATGTAATCGGTAACAGGCTGATTGGTCTGTATGAAGAAACTGAGCCAGGATCTTTTCCACTTTTAGGTATCATTTTTACAATTGATATTTTGAAAGAATTTGGCCAAACATTAAGTCTTAAAATAGAATTGAATATGTATGTTAGGTAAATGAAACCTTTTTTTGTCATTTCTTTTAACATTCTTGCTAATATTGAATCAATACCTGGAGCCTTTTTGTTTTGTAGTTTAGAGATTTCTATGATAACTCTCTTTAAAGAAAAAAAATTCTTTCTATTATTATGTATAGTCACTGGATCTTCACTTACGTCAGAGTGGTCATCAAAAGAAGTCGGATTTGGCTGAAAGACGGAGCTTAAGTATTTGGCAAAAAGTTCAGATTTTTCCTCATCGCTTCGTGCCCAGGAAAGATTGTTATTTGATTCCCAGCGCACTGGTGGAATTCTACTGCATGGCTTAAGTTTGTTCTTGATAGGCCTCCAAATAAAGTTATCAAAGCGATTAAGATTGGTAATGTAATTGGTAAAATTTGTATTGTTTAATTCTTTCAACCTGGCTTTAAGCTTATTGCTGAGGTTATTTAAGATGTTTTTATCGGAAGGTAAGTGGGAAGTATGCCATATTTTTCTAGCTTTTCGCTTTTCAGCAATGAGCTTTTTTATTTCAAGAAAAGTAGATTAGTACTTCACGTCATTCATTATAAGTGTAGCAAAAACAGCAGCAACATGCAGAATTTTGTTAAAGAAGTCAATTGCACTATCGATATCCGAAGGGTTTTTAAGGCTTATTTGTAAGTTGATTTTTTCTTCCACAATTCTGCGATATGTCTCCCAATTAGTTTTTGTTGAGTGAAGTTTTGAAGTATGAGGAATGTTAATTACTGATGAACATATACTAGCTATTGTGGGAGAGTGGTCAGAAGAGAGATCATAACTTGCTTAAATTTCAGTGAAATTGGTATTAATGCCATTCAAAACAAAAAAGTCTAACAAATCGGGTTTTTTATTTATGTCTGTAGGCCAATAAGTTGGACTGCATGTAGAAAGAGCTTTGAAGTTACATTGATGGATTGCTTCATATAATTGACTACCTTTAGGGTTGATCAATCTGGAGCCCCAAAAAGAGTGCTTGCTGTTAAAATCACCTCCAACGACAAATTAAGGTCCTAGGGTTGAGAAAAATGCACAAAACTGCGAGCAATTTATTATATGCCGTGGTGGACAATACACAGCCGATAGTGTGACGACATAAGACGTAAACTTAACTTGTACAGATGTTGCTTGCAAGTAATCTTCACTGTATTTTTGGATTTCAAAATGCGAAATATTTGACTTCATTAATATGGCTGTACCTCCGTGGGCACTACCATCTGAATGAGGTGTGTGATAAAGACTGTAGTGAGGTATAAATAGGTTTGAGAATTTGGTAAAGTGTGTTTCACTCACCAGTAAAACATGAATTTTATTTTCAGTGAGAAAAACTGTTAATTCGT